CCAGGCCTCCTGCATGTTAACAGTTTTTAGACTAGTGGGGCCCATTTTCATTATCTTGCCTAGGGTCCCACAACCCTATGGGCCGGCACTGAATGATAAATAAATAAATGGTAACACTTTAGATTAAGGAACACATATTCTCTATTAAATAAGAGTTAATAAGCAACTTGCTGAATAGTGTTCCCTAATCTAAAGTGTTACCAAATAAATATTGTAATAAAATATGCTTGCATAAAGCAGCTGGTGAGAGCAAAATATTATTTTTATGTGATAATTTAATTATTTTATACAATATTTTATTAGTTACTCATATTTAATTTTTTAAATAATTTATTTATATAATATTTTAATATAGACAAAATTTAACATTTCTGGATTAAAAGTTTGAGAATAAAGACAACAAAAACACACAAAGGCAAATCAGAGCATCTGTATATTTTATTCACATATGTTACATTTTGCATTAAATGTCATTAAAAGTCACCCTTTCAGAGATGACATCATAAAGTCTGAATCAGCACCTATACAGTAATGTACTGTATTACTGCCTGCCTGACAAGCATTCACCGCAGGAGAACACACCAGCATTATCCACCCGTCACACTTAGCACAACTGTCTGTCTATACAAAGTTGGGAAAGAGAGTAAGAACTCTCTTAAAAAAAAACAGCAGCATGCAAGAAATCAAGACAAAATAAGAAATGAAAGCAAACTTCAAGTGCACTGAAAACATCCTCCCTCCAGCATGGCATGATTGCAGCAATGAGAATCAATACCTACCAATCAAACTGATCAATACAAACCAAACATGCTTTTTCTGGTGTGCGTGTCTGAATATATGTGTGTGTGGTGTTGGGGGTGCTTGTCTGTTTTCAGTAGGAAACAAACAAAAAGCAAAATGCCCTCAATATAACTGGACATCACGTGTCACTGTAATCACACTGATTATTATTATTGCAAGGGCTCCACTGATGTCATTATTTTGATTGTGACCCACAAATCTAAATATCATATGGAAACTGTACTGCAAACTTCATTTAAATGTGTGTATTTAATTTCTATATACAATTAAAACAAAAAGGGGACAATTTATTTTATTTTCTTCCCCCAAGAACTCTCAGTGTGGTGTCAGGCTTTAGGTTTAGACTGGGGTCATTTTATGTCAATGTGAAGCTTGATCTTACTTTTTAAGGGGGCAAGGATTAAATGAGAAAGTACTAAAACTAAACCATTTGCTAACATAGGAGTTGCATAAAATAAAGAAAGTGTGTGCCACACCATACATGTCCATCACTGGACTGGGCTGCAATATTCAATTTGATGTCATCCAGTTTAATGCATTTTCAAATAATTAACTTCCGCATGCAAAATGCCCTCTCTACAGTTACAGATTACACAATCAAAGATGGTCCGAGGACAGAGCTTTGAGGAACACCACATGTATCGGACTGGAAAACTAGCCTTCGCTAAAATGTCTATTTGTATCAAGTACCAAATTATCTTTTTTTTTAACTTTCTGATAACATTAAAACAGATCTTTTTTCTTTTTCTTTTGGTCTGATACTTTTGCATAAAGGATCTACACACAATCTGGCCGAGTTCAAAGCAGTAGAACTAAGTGACAACCCTTTTCTCAGGAACACTTCAGATCAGGAATTCAATATCCTGAGTGGTGTGCGCATTAAAATATCGTCCCAACAACACAAATAATGTCTTTAAACAAGGGAAAACTTCACTACCTGCAAAATCCTAGAGGAGGAGAAATTAGGTAATGGAAGCCAATTGCTACAAAATCAGTCAAGACAATTATGACTAACTTTCTTAACTTCAGAGGTTTTTGCAAATGTGCATTGAGCCTCTAGATATACAAGACCAACAGAACAGCCATCAAACGGCTCTTTGAACCAGAACTCAGTGTAAACACTGCCCCCTATGGACCATCTGACACCAGTCCAGGCATCATGTAATTAGAATATCGTAAAGACAATCAAACTTTGAGGGACAACTGACTTGGTGGGTATGTTGTTAGATTTTCTGGTTATAGTTCGGTGAATCTCAGGAATATTCAAGAATATTCCCAGATCATTATTTTACCCTTAACCAAAAGAAAAAAAAAAAAAAAAGTATTTTGCATAAAAAAAAAATCAAGCAGATTTTCAGAACCTTAATTGTATTGCATTATTTTCCTGACAAATTAAACGCATCTGCCCACTCTTTACAATAAAGAAACACATAGACTCTCTCTCTCTCTCTCTCTCTCGCTCTCTCTCTCTCATAAATATATTTTAAGGTTACCGTTATGACATTTATGTGAGGAAAAGGGTCACAGATCATTATTTAACGACTAGCTCCGTCTCTAGCAATTAAATATGTGCTACAAGGTTGTAGGGGATTTTTTTTTGTATTTTTATAATAAACTCAACAGACCAGCCAACCACCATCAAAAACAAAACCATTAGGAAAAAGAAAAAAAAATTTTTTTTTTTTTTTTTTTTACAAAGGTATAATTTACTTTTTTCAAACAATGAATAGCAGCACTTATTAAATATTAAAATCTTTTATCTGAGACTACAAAATAAAAGAAAAAAAATATATAAAATAAAATACCTGAGGATGACTGCAACTACACCTCGAGTCAGACAAATCTCACTTTAGCTCTAATCGGTTGATATTTCACATCATACCCTGCGTTTTGAACCCACAATCAGTCTTATGAGATGTGTTTCTCAAATAACTCAAATAGCATGATGTGGTCAGGGGTGCGGTGGGGTGGTGGGGGGGTATGTTGAGAGTCTTGGTAACTTTAGCATTCAAGGTTTTGATATTCATTCTGATATCTGTACATGATTTGTTTCACATTGGTCAAAATAATTTTTTTAAAAGTCTGTCTCCTCAAAAACGATGTCAGTTTTCCAAAAGTTACAGAACGGGAGTATTATTCCACTCTGTGCGTCCAACAGACTAGACACTCACCTTGAGCTTGCTGGGACAAAACAAAATTCTCCCCTATAAATCCACACCAAAAATCACTTTAAAACACGCGCGCACACACACGCTGTTAGTCAATAGGCTTGATTGTACACTAAACTTCATATGAACCCAGGCTGTGGCCAACTCAATGCAGGTTTTCTTTATATTACACGACAGAAATCATCAGAGGATGCCACAGAGGCTGGCACTGACATCATGTGACCTGTCCTCTCCAGGTTGTGGGCTGTACTGTTAAAGTCCATTGTAATGGGGACCCCAGCGCTTGTTGATGTGGTCGAAGGTGTGCGAGACCCACTGCTGCTCCAGAACGCGGTATCTCTCCTCACATAAATACAGAGGCTTTCCTCGACTACGGAACAGGAAAAAAACAAGAGGTCACAGCAGGAAATGGAAACCATTTTATTTATAAAAGAAATGAACAGGGAAATGAACTCGGTTTCACAAATAAATGACTACTGGGCAAGAATGCCACAAAAATGGACAAAATGCAAGATTAAAAGTG